ACACTATGTGATGCGATGATAAATTCCACATGTGCGACGATAAATTCCGCACGAAGTCATTTTGCAGATGTCCATTTTTCATTATGCATGTCATTATCTTCATTATATCATTTCATGCATGATGAATTGTCTTCATAAGTAGAAGAGGAGCTCCGCAAGTACAACCTGCCATGTGCATTTGCATTCAAAAGCAAAATACTTATATGCACATCTTCAGGGGGAGCCTATCTCCTACTTACGAAGACAATACTTAAAACCTTTACAATTTCACATATTTCTATCCCTGTTGAAAACTTCAACTAGTTTGTCATCAATCACCAAAAAGGGGGAGATTGTAAGTGCATCTAGTGCCACCCCTAGTTGGTTTTGGAGTATTGACGACAAACCTGATTGAGGGACTAATGTGTTTGTGAGAATTGCAGGATAACACATGTAGAAGTCCCTCATTGATTCGGTTTTCCTACCGGAGATGACCCCTAAAAATGTATGAAGACATTGAAGTCAAAGGTGGTATGTGAAGACATTCACATTGAAGACTATGACAAGAGAAGATATCGTGTGAAGACTATGGAGCGCGAAGACTTAGTTGTTTCGTCGTTCTTTTTCTTCTTTGTTGAGTCATAGGAACCACCGTACTGTTAAGTGGGGTCCAAGTAAACCAGTCAGAATGACTGAAGTGATGCTTAACCAAAATCCTATGTCTTCGAGCGAAGACAATGAGAGCAAACCTTATCCAGAGCTGGATAAGTCAGCTTTGCTTGTAGCTCAAGTAAAGTTGTCGTGTGTATTTAAAATTTGACCGTTGAAACATGTGTCAGTTCCTTAGTGACACAGGGTCATTTCGAACAAATCAGATCGGGTTGCCTAGTGGCTATAAATAGCCCACCCCCTACACCATAAATTGGTTGGCTGCTCGGAGTTAGTGCACGGCTTTTGTCGTTTGAGAACAACCCACCTCGAAGCCTTTGAGAGAGAAATCCTTACGAGGACAAAGCTCTAAACACTCAGAGCCAAAGAGTGTTAGGCATCACTTAAGTCTTCTTGTCTGTGTGATCTGAAGACTTATTACACTTGAGGACTGTGAATCCTCCAGCCGGTTAGGCGTTGCATTATGAGCATCCAAGGGCCAGTTCTTTTTGGCGATTCTCCCAGAATCGCCCCCCTCTCCAGCTTCTCCCAGAATCGTCACTCCATATTTTTTTTACAATCCTATCTAGTTAAGGTCTAATTAGCTAGGATTGTAAAAAAACATATGGAGTGGTGATTCTGGAGAAGCTGGGGAGGGGGGCGATTCTGGTAGAATCGCCCAAAAGAACTGGCCCCAAGAGTCATTATGGATCGCCGGTGAACAAAGTCTGTGAAGGTTTGGAAGTCTACCTTGAAGACTTATCAGAGTAATTGGGCGAGGACTGGGTGTCCTTAGCTCAAGGGGAATAAAGTGAAGACGCGGTCTTCTGAGTTGAATCTCAGCCTCCCTAACCAGACGTACGGTTGTCACAGCAACTGAAACTGGTCCAACAAATCATTGTCTTCAACGAGCCACTGGTTCTATCATTTCCATCTCTTTATTTACTGTTAGTCCTTGTGAAGTCATTGCCTGTTTGCATTACCTTTTGTCTTCACTGAGTGACTGCTTGTTCTGATTGGCTTCATACTATATTCCATCCTGATCTATACTGCCTAGCTGCTATTAGTCTTTGTGCCTTCATTTCATTGAATACTTGACTATGGCTTGCTTAGTGTAGTCTACCTTCCGCTGCATAGTAATAGGTTTATTTCTATCGTTTGTCTTTGAAACTTTCATGTTTTGAAGACTTTCATAAAAATCGCCTATTCACCCCCCCCCCCTCTAGTCGATCACTAGCACTTTCAATAATATCTACTTTTTTGTGCATAAGGTTTAAAAAAAAGTTAGATATGGCAAAATTTTGTACAAACATACCCCACAGACCCCCAATAGCTGGTTGCCTGGTTGTTTGTATTCTTAAGGGATTGCAACAAAAAAAGGCATGTTTTGATCTGGTTTGTTTGAACATGATGGCAGTCTTTATATGTATCATGGTAATTTGTTTTATTTTGTTTAGACATTCAAAGTCATGTCTAAATATTAGTTTATTAAGCTTGGTAGTAGTCACTAAGAAACCCTCAGGCAAGCTTACATTTCATGCATATCTCCGGCGCGAGTAGCCGCATAAAGAATCTCGCCAACCAAACGCTCCACAGCGAGATCATCCGAGACAACACCGAGGTGAGATGTATTGGCAATCTTGACGGAATCATAGTACTCCAGTCTCGGGTCTCCACCGATCACTGTGTCAAGCGCAAGTTTGCTCGCCAAGTTCACGACCCGTCGCCGTCACCATAAACCACCTCTGAGGCCGTCACGGGCACCACCGGTGGTCCGATGCTCAGGGCCGCGTCGAGACCGCCGCCAGGGTAGATGAGCTTCTCGGTGGTCGGCACGCCCACGCCGTTGACACACGTCACGGGCACCACCGGCGGTCCGATGCTTAGGGCTGCTGGGAGGGCCCGTGACTCGTAGAGCCGCACACGGCGCGTGGCGGCAGCCCTGCCGCCGCTAGAAACGCTGGCATGTCATGCACAATGCAGCTCTTATTTCCCATGACCGCCAGCGGCGTGCCATCAACGAAAGCGACGGGAGAAGGCACCGTGGTGAATACGGAGCAACCTGTGGAGGCGAATTGCTGCATAGAAACCACGAAGCCGCCGACGCCCATGGAGGCCATGACGAAGTGGTTTTCTAAGTTTTGTTAGGGTTTGTGCCATGTTTAAAAAGACGAGGCGGCAGTGGTTTATTGAAGACGGTATAAGGTCCTCCCCGCCTAGCCCCATCCCGATGATGTTTCAAGCGTTGTCAGAAGGCATGTGGAGGTTTGTCTCGAACGGATCTCGTGGGATCTGATCGGCGTTTGTCTTTGGTGGATCCGGCTGGATCATGTTCATCTACATCTGTGTGTCTGCAGATTGGATCATTTCGATCTATGCTTCTCTTCATCGACGGCGGTTGCTGTTCTGGTGCGCTGGTCATATGGGGCCTTAGCACGACAATTTCCCGACTATCTACTACGACAATGTTTGCACACCTCCGTCAAGGGAGGGGCGATGACAACGGCGCGCCTTCAGCTTGCTATAGGGCTTGTATTCGTCATTAGGTGGCCTACGGATCTGAATGTAAATTTTACTTCTAGTGTTTTTTGTACTACCTTGACAATTGATGAATAGATAGGAAGTTTTCTTGAAAAAAAAAGAGAAACTTAATCAAGGAGGGCCTTCCTGCATGGCCTAAAACAGTACACCAGGACATTGTTGGTGTATCCAAAAGACGACAAGAGACACGCGAGACACGAGAAGCACGCACGTGTCCAACGTTTGTGAGGCAATGAGTAACCCCATTGACGAGTGGGCACGTCCTGAACGCAGGGGCATCTGCACCCACTTTTAGAAAAAATGCATTTTAAGCATGTTTTAAAATATCAAAAAATATAAAAGAAAATTGCATGCATACATGTTCACAAATGTGTGTGTGCGGCACAAAGTTTTGTGAAAAAAATGTCTTTTTGGTTTGCCTCCGCAAGAAGAATCAAATTTCAATGCTTTTAAATAGCGTTTGACGATACAATTTGTCTTTCTTGCATAGGCCACAAAAAAAGTTATTTTTTTCGTAAAACTTTATGCATGCACATAGAACATGGATACGTACCCGTGCAACGTTTAAAAAAAGCATTTAAAATGTGTTTTTTTTAAATGGATTCATATATACCGGGGTTCATCCATGCATTTCCCCCCTATTATCGAGCTAGTTTTATGGGAACAAACTCTCTTAACAGCAGCTAGACTCTGAGTCCCCGAGACCAGCTGACTATATGCTGATTTAGCTAGGCCATTGTCTGCCAAGCAAAGCTAAAGCGACTGAAGAACTTTCACCATAAAACGTTATCTCCACGGTGGTCGTTTCCAGCTGGGTGGGCTCTATGCACAGATAATTAAAACACCATTAAGATGGTGTTGTGTACCATGCCATGCGATTTGAAGCTCCAATACACACACCGAGAAGAAAGATTAAATTCTACACCTTAACCCGTAGAACTGTCACCATAAAATTCAATGATTTTAGATTGAATCTGGCTCGAAATTTCAGGGTTACAAGCATTTCAGACCCCACTGAAATATGTGAAATTTCAAAAATTTCATTGAAATTTTGAACCCTGGCCGTAGCTCACCAACTTCAACGGTCTCAATTTTGGAAGTGTGTGAGCGAGATGAGACTTTGGCAGATCTAGCCGACACAATACAAAGACGAGAGTTGTAGATAAATCCCGGGGCAAATAATCTTTTTATGGCATATGCAAAACAGAACTAAAATTTTGTGGGAAAACAGAAATTCCATCTTCATAATGTTTGCACAGGCACAACCAGTCCTCTTTGATTCCATAATCTCAAGTTAACCTTCGGTAATGCCTTCTCAAGAGGGTCAGAGTGACTTCAAATGAAACACATATGGACTAAATCGAAGAAACACATGCCCGAAGTAACTCCGTTATATACATCTGAGATCGAATATACATCGTGCCGGATTGAATGTATAAGATGGCGTGTCCGCAGATCGTCAAACCCCGGATCATATGAGTGTAGCTAGCTATACAAAAAAACTATTACTCCCAGAACACAGCACCCAAACTAAACGCCCAAGGACCCCAAGGAAATTCAACCAAACCAGACCTGTGCTTTCATCAGAACTGCCTCAGCCTCAAAAATGGATTAGCGAGACGGTTGTATCCTGCTCGAACGTTCACAGGGCGACCATACGCGTGTTCTATTCCATAATCCCAAGCATGATACCGAACTCGAGAGCATGGTCCTGAAGGGGAGATCCTCGCCTAAGTGCCAAGGTAATGAATCACCTCCATCATGCGCACCAAAAAATGAATATCCATGTCCAGGGAGCGAGGCAATGAGCGTCTATTACCCATTGCAAGCATTTACTCCTCCGTGTCTTGTGCAATTTCCGTAACTGATAAGATGTCGTCGCGGGGATGAACCATTTCCACAACGACACTCGCTTCATCTCCCACTTTCCCGGCTGCAACCACGGTTGTGACCTGAATCCCGACCTGTCGGTGTCACCAGAAAAAAGGGATTAGAATAAGGAGCTCAAAATATCAAGACAGGGAGAGCGGTTATCTATATATCATAGAAACAGTAACTCAATATGCAATCTTGAAAAAAAATCAAATTGGCAGGCCCCGGTTGACAATAGCAGGAGGTTGGCTTTCCCTTGTTTACATGATTTTGTCAGTTTAGAACTTTGGAGTCGTTTGGCTGCATACCAGGTGTTGTTCTTTTTCTAAAGAATAGCAAGTTCAGTTGTGGTTTTAAATGAGCAGATAAACAAATTGATTAGCATATATCATCCCATTTACGGGTCTACCCATTCCACAGCATGAAGGATTTGGTTGACTGTAGTCAAAAGTTAGAACCAGAAAGAATAAAGGGAAGAAACATGGAACCGGGCCAAAATTACTGATCTGCCTGAACTTAGCCAGGAACCTGGTGGTTCTCGGAATCTATGGTGAATCAATGAAGGAAAATTGGTTGATGCCCAGGGGAGCTAGTTCTGACCGGTGAACTTGCACACACAATCTTCAAACTTAACAAGACCAGACTAGTACCCATACCGGGTTTCCTCAGTCGAACTGGCAGACCGATCCAGTTTTTAAACAAGGGGCAGGACAACTAAAGTTCTCGCTCATGATCCCAGCAAAAGTAAAAAAAGTACTCCCTCCGATCCATATTACGAAGTAATATAATATGGATTGGAGGGAGTACTACTATGGAGATACTGCACCAATAAATAGATAAATTATTGGATGAAGCATGTTGACTTACATCCACCAAAAGCAATGTTGCCATGCGATCCTTGATGAACTTAAGTATGAGTGCTCTATACTTCCTCCCCTTTGGCTGCCTCCTTAAGTACTCCAGCAACCAGTAACGTAAGCTGTTGCTATGGAGCTTCCTAGCTACTTTAACATGCATGCTCGCAATAAATGTCATCCCTTCCAGATCACCAGCTGAATATGGTGGAGATTCACCTCTAAGAAAAGCCTTTACCTGCAATTTTTCAATGTATAAAATTAAGTAGACCATATTTATATCATTCAGACAAAGCTACAAGAGCATGGTTAATAATATAGCCAGCTGATGGCTATAAGACTAGTCACAATGGGAGTAACTTAACTAGTAACATCACACATTTCAATACAAGATTGCTTATGTGGCAGCTAATTAATGAGGAGAGAGGGGTTTGTGGTAACTTAGCTAGTTACTGTAACATCACACATTTCAATGCATAATGAGTCTATAGCCTAATAAATGAACTCTTTCATGATATCACTTATATGTTACTACCCACTATGAAGGTAGTAACATAGACTAGTAACATCGGCAAGTTACTACTCTATGTTACTCCCCTCTGTGAGCAGTCTAAGGAACTGCCAAGTCATCTATAGTCATCATCTATAGGCACTCGTACAATAATGTGGGCTATAAGGTTGGCTATTACATTAATACTTTTTTTCTATCTTCTCTCTATCTCTTTCTTCACATTTATTGTATTTACCTACAAATGCGTATATAGCTAGGCTCTTGAATGAGAGCCCACTTCCCTTTTTCACATCTCTCTCCTCCACATAGGCAAAAGTGCCATGTAAGCTGGCTATAAGCCCACTATTGTACTTGCTCCAATGGTGTGGATAAAACTACACTCCATTCATAACACAAGAAAAAAAATCGGCAATTCAAAAGGACAGTTATTTAACTACCAAAGTTCCTCCAAACTGTATCATGTCCCTGTTCATATGATTAATAGGTGCATAAAAATACCTGATAATGAGCAAGCAGGTCGACATATCTTCGAATAGGGGAGGTGAACTGTACATAGCCAGGAATTCCGAGGACACCGTGTGCTACAGGTTTCCGAAAATCCATTTCTGCAGCACGAAGCACACTGATATTGGCAACGCTCCTGGCAGGCCCTTCAGGCAGATAGGCAAATGCTGACACAGCTGTATTAGACTGGGGATGCCCTCTGTATGGCAAAGGAATGTTGTTGTCAGAACCAAACGCAGCCACCGCCTCCCCACACAGTATCATCATCTCAGATACAAGCTGCATTGCTGGGTTGGTTTGATCTTCGACATATAAATTAATGTTTGGTTCAGGATCATCAGGATTTGCCACCTTGATACGAGGTTCTATCATAGCAGTGTCGATTGAACCCTGCAAACTTCAGAGTGTCAATGGTATCAAGTAAAAGTAACAAATGCATCTAAAATATTCAGTTGGTTAGGTACACGCTTAAATTTTCAGAAAATCTCCAGAGATACAGACTTGTTCTAAGTGGTATCAGGACTGCAAGATGTCCAGCCAATGGTTCAACATTAAATTTGTAGTCTATCTTATTATCTAAAAAGTGTAATCTCGGTTACTAATGAAAGGATGATGTATAGACCAGCAACCGCAAAGGCCTGCATAGCTCTTACCTGGCTACGACGCCATTGTGCACGAATTGAAGCAGCTTCTTGAAGAATCCTCAGGTCTTCCTCTTCTTCCAGATTCATGTACAGCAATTCAGTTGCACCCTCATATGTTAACATGTAGGTAGGTTTGATTACTGAGTTCTCTATCGAATATTCTGCAATACTATCACACACAAATGGATGCATTCATTACACTTATTATAAAAGAAACATACAGTATCTCCCAAAGAAAGAAAAAAGACAGCTTGCTAGAGAATATTAAAGGAATTGTAGAAAGTTACCTTCCATCTGGATGCAAAATCACAGATACGCTTACAGATCTACAATCTGTACCCTGTTGCAAACTCATAGCATTCATGGCAAGCCTCTCTGGGAACATCGGAAAGGTGGCAGTTGGTAAAAATATGGAGGTTCCTCTGTGCATTGCTTCCCTGTAGGCAAAATGTCATTTTTTTTCAAATAATAATATAAGATGCTATTGACAGAAAAGCTAGACCCGCTGAGCAGGAGAAGCAAAAATAACCTGTCAAGGATGCTCCGGGGTTGAAGAAAGCATGTTGGGTCAGCTACATGTATCCAGACCTTTATCCTACCATCAGGTAGTCTAGTTGCACTTAATGCATCATCAAGCTGAGTTACCAAAAAATAGTATTCAACAGATTTGTCCGTGAGCAGCGAATTTATATAATTCAGTTTCTTACGAAAGATGTGTGGGCAGCAATAATAGAAACATACTTCATCAGCCTCATCCACATCAATGGCATACACTCTCAAATTTGGAAGATCCTTCCTGACATGCTGAAAGAGAACCCAAGGTATTTTAAACTATATAGATATTAGTCATTCGGAATTTGACAGTAACTACATACCTTATCTAAATCAGGACAATCCACCAGAAGCTCCTCAGCAACAGACAAAACTTTCTCGGTATACGTGGTTTGAACATCATACCTGAAAAGATCAAGATTGACATGCACGGGGAAGTAACCCACATTTATAAGGAGCTTTAGGGCAGCTGATGACGTCCGTGCAAAACCCATAGCCTTCAGAATCTGTCATTACATTCAGTCATATAGGCAAGGATCAGCAAGATGGGGAAGTCAAACATTTTCCTCAATAAAGCATGATATAAGGCTAAAGAATATCTTTTAGCACAGAAATATTAGACAAAAGATTGGTAGTGGAATAGGATATGTTACATTTCCCGCCATTCTTCTTTGTTCATCATTACACGCATCAACTGCATATGCCTGAAGAGACTCGATTTTTTGTTTCACTTTCTCTTCCATCAACCATGAATTTTTTGGAGGCTTAGAGCCTAGAGGCAATGCTTTAGCGGACTTGAGTAGGTGGACAAATTCTTCCAGTTCCTTATCGGCGGCCTCTTTAGCAAGCTTCCGTCGTAAAAGTTCATCCACCTACTACCAGATGATAAACATAAGTCTACCAATGAACACCACAAAGCAGAAACAATTTTGCAGAAAATGAAGCAACTAGAGCAATTTAGGGAATCACACACTTGATAAATACACTCAAATCAAACATCTGGCTGACTAATCATGTCAGATTAGCAGTCAAATTTCTATAACATCCATTAAAACCCTATAGCAGTAGCAGTAGGGTTTTGCTTGCTCTCTTTCTGTTTTGTTTTGGCTTTGTTCCCTGTGTAGGATAGTTTATAGGTTTGGCTAGCCTTGGTTTCCTTTCTTTTTTTTCCTGCGCCTTCTCGGTGTTCTTCTAATACAAAATGACACAGTTTCATCGGTGTTAAAAAAACACCCATTTGGCATATCAGAGGAAAAAGGTAAACATGATGATTTGTATGGCCTCCCGCCATGCAAAACTATGCTCTTCAATAGACTAAAACCATGGGCACACCGGCACAAAGACAACTGCTAGGCTTACAAGAGGCAAAATGGAACTGAATTGTGATTACAGTTGAAGGATTAGTCAGTTCAGGCTAGCGTTCTAAAGGAAATATCATGACCTTACATTCTTCTCAAAAGGAATTGTTGCAACATTAATGAGTTTGCCAAACTAATTCAGGGTGTGTAACACACGATATATATATCACACATATATTTAGAAAATATACCTGAGCAGATGGGCGAGGCTGGTATATGGAAGAACCTCTGCTCTCCACCTTCACAAAATACACAATATCCCGTGACAACAAAAAGTGTGCACAGTAGCTTTCCAGAGACTCCTTGCTGCCATAAACTATCTGAGAAAATCACAAGTGTCACATTTGATGATTTGAACAGAGAAAGACACAGAATAACAAATCTAATGAACCTCTTACATCAGCAAACTCCTCAACAGTTACTGATTTGTCCTTCTCAGAAAGCTCCATCCAGGCACATTCCAAGATAGTAGGGTCCTGTAGCAACTCATATTATCAGTCATGATGCACAGTATATGTAGTACACTTACAAATCATGCAACGTTTCTCACCAAGAGATCTTGCGCTTTCTCGAGAAATTCAGCTATTCTTGAACAATCAAAATCCATGGTACCAGGTACAACATATGTCACCTGCTGGGGCTTTATAGAAGATAAGATACCATTCTGCACAACAAATCAGCAGCTAAATCACAAGAGAATCTTGGGAGTGGCGATTTGGTGCCGGGGCTCTACTGTGATTTGAAATAGAAAAAAGTTCAAAAAATTCCCTTTTTTTTGTGGTGCAAGACGCTCCTGTGCGTGAACTCTGTGCAAAGTTTGGACATTCTAGGAGCTCGTGGCAAAAAAGACAAATTTCGGATGTCTGAGAAACTTTTGAAAATTGCACTGTTCATGCCTGATTTTGTCTTTTTTGCCACAAAGCTTCTCGAATGTCCAAACTTCACAAAATTTTGCACGAAGTTCACGCACAGAAGCATCTTGCACCACAAAAAAATTGGAATTTTTTGAACTTTTTTTCTGTTTCAAATCGAGGTACTGTTCACCGGGCTCATCTGAGCCCGGGTTCTAGGTTGAATTATCGATCCGTAATGTCTTTTCATCTGTGAAAAGTGTACAAATATATCCATGGAAATGAATTCACCAGGCACCGAGTATTCTATTGGACAGGCTAGTTATCCCTCTTTAAATACCTGGTCAGTGACTACCCAGTTTTTCTTCCCATCAGGCCTTTCGACAACAGCGAGCAAGGATCTCTCAGAATCTTTGTGAAATTCAAGCAGCAATCCTTTTTGTATTGTTCTCTTCTCTATCTTACTATCCGACAGTTCCTTTGTGCCCTGCAATCCTATCCTGAAGAACAACAAGACAGAATCCCAACTGTAAGCTTAATTGCTGTCTTTTTTTTTAAACCAGCATATATTAATCATGGACGTAAGTAATCACAATCATGTTTGATCGACTCCAATACACAGGAGGGAGCCGACCCAATACAGTACACCCACAACCTCTGTCTCTCTTAAAGGACTGGGCAAGACTATCTGAAGCCCAGTAGTAAGCTTCATTGCATTGACCTATGCAATTATCATCAAAACAACAAAGCCTTTTGTCCCAAGCAAGTTGGGGTAGGCTAGAGATGAAACCCAACATAAACCTGTGAGAACCTAAAATTGAAAGGTGCGTGCAAATTCCTTGGCTTCATCAAGCCTACAGTGATTTCCCGCTCTGTCGCTGCGGCGCGAGATGGGAACTGTTGGGTGAGAGACCTGCGTGGCCGCCTTGCTGTTCAGGCGGTGCTACAATTGCTGCGTGGCCGCCTTGACCATTTCCATCAGACAGCATGACAGTGCATTTCCCACACGAAATGGTTTTGGAGACCACTACACTGTCCTACTACAATTCCACGACTAAATCTCCTTATGTAATGTACTGCAGAACAAATTGCATGAAGCAAATGTACCTAGAATTGCTGCAAACCGGGTTCATCTTACTCACAAGCCATCATTACCGTACGCGGAGGGATTGCTAGGAACGGGCGACGGCGGCGAGGCAGGAGGGCAGACAGCTGAGCTCTTACAATGCGAAAGGGGGCATTACCTTGCGGAGACCCGGACCCGCCTGCGGGACCGGAGCTCCTGGAGGACGGAGTCGACGAGGCGGCCCCGGCAGGCGGCAGTGGCACCGAACGCGGAGCGGCCCGCGGGGGCCAGGCGGGCGGCGCGGGCGAGCGGGCGGAGGCGGAAGAAGGCCAGCGCCGCCGAGGAGCACCCGCTCGCCGCCCTCGCCGCCATGGGCGATGGCCGCATATGCGCGCGCGCCCGCGGTCGAGGGAGGGAGGGAGGGAGGGAGGGGAGCGCCGGTGAGCCTCGCTCGCCGCTGCCGCTGCTCCGGCCGGGGATTTTGGCGATAAGAGAGGAGAGAGCGGTTCCGCACGCGAGTGGAGGGAGGAAGGCGAGGGCGAGGCTGCTGCTGTGGCGGACTGGGCCTGGGCCTCTCGTGGCGGGGATGCATGGGCCGGCACTGGTTAGTGGGTGATGATTTCGAGCGCAGCGCAGCGTTTCGGCCCGATCCGTCAAGGCTGGTGACCAAGCGATTATTAAGGCCGACAGTACTCACTTTAAAATTGTGTTACTACGAGAGAAATAAAATCCGTCGTAGTCTAGGTGGTTAGGATATTGGTCTCTCACACGAGAGACCCGGGTTCAAGTCCCGGCGACGGAATTTTTTGGCCTTTTTGTCACCCACCCTGTTTGCTTCCTGTCTCTGAAATTGCACGTCACTGCAAACTTTTTTTTTTGAAGTTACGTCACTGCAAACTTTTTTTCTGAAGTTACGTCACTGCAAACTTAACGATTGATCAATGAATTAAGGGGGGAAGATACCACAGATTCAGTTCTCCTTTTCTATTACAACGGGGCCTCGAAGTGATTTATAATCTTGGGATGCTCTCCGGTGATTGTTGAGCCAAGACGCGTTTGAGCATCCGATGGTATAGTCGGGATCTAGAGTCGATTCGCGGTGATTCTAGCCGACTGTTTCACAAGACATTTAGAGTCGGTTTGGTTTCATTTTAAAATTGTAGCCGACTGCTTCCATAAGGCCTTCAGATCTGGTTGGTTTCATTCCAACACTGCCCACGTGATGCTAATATAGCACGTCACTGCAAACTTTTTTTTTTGAAGTTACGTCACTGCAAACTTTTTTTCTGAAGTTACGTCACTGCAAACTTAACGATTGATCAATGAATTAAGGGGGGAAGATACCACAGATTCAGTTCTCCTTTTCTATTACAACGGGGCCTCGAAGTGATTTATAATCTTGGGATGCTCTCCGGTGATTGTTGAGCCAAGACGCGTTTGAGCATCCGATGGTATAGTCGGGATCTAGAGTCGATTCGCGGTGATTCTAGCCGACTGTTTCACAAGACATTTAGAGTCGGTTTGGTTTCATTTTAAAATTGTAGCCGACTGCTTCCATAAGGCCTTCAGATCTGGTTGGTTTCATTCCAACACTGCCCACGTGATGCTAATATAGCAGCGCACACTTTGCATCGACAAGCTTATGATTCGAATTCTTATTTGCGTTAGGAGGGCAGCCCTTCTCAAAAATGCCAACAAGCTTATGATTCGAATCTCCGAGCACGGATGGCGTGGCACTCTCAGGCAAGAAGCATTCATCCAGGTGCATGTTACGTGTGCCGCGATCTGACCCACTCATCTTGCACGTGCTCACGTCATCCATTCCTTTTCTATTACAACGGGGCCTCGAAGTGATTTATAATCTTGGAATGCTCTCCGGTGATTGTTGAGCCAAGACTCGTTTGAGCATGCGATGGTATAGTCGGGATCTAGAGTCGATTCGCGGTGATTCTAGCCGACTGTGTCACAAGACATTTAGAGTCGGTTTGATTTCATTTTAAAATTGTAGTCGACTGCTTTCATAAGGCCTTCAGATCTGGTTGGTTTCATTCCAACACTGCCCACGTGATGCTAATATAGCAGCGCACACTTTGCATCGACAAGCTTATGATTCGAATTCTTATTTGCCTTAGGAGGGCAGCCCTTCTCAAAAATGCCAACAAGCTTATGATTCGAATCTCCGAGCACGGATGGCGTGGCACTCTCAGGCAAGAAGCATTCATCCAGGTGCATGTTACGCGTGCCGCGATCTGACCCACTCATCTCGCACATGCTCACGTCATCTATTCCTTTTCTATTACAACGGGGCCTCGAAGTGATTTATAATCTTGGGATGCTCTCCGGTGATTGTTGAGCCAAGACTCGTTTGATCATGCGATGGTATAGTCGGGATCTAGAGTCGATTCGCGGTGATTCTAGCCGACTGTTTCACAAGACATTTAGAGTCGGTTTGGTTTCATTTTAAAATTGTAGCCGACTGCTTTCATAAGGCCTTCAGATCTGGTTGGTTTCATTCCAACACTGCCCACGTGATGCTAATATAGTAGCGCACACTTTGCATCGACAAGCTTATGATTCGAATTCTTATTTGCGTTAGGAGGGCAGCCCTTCTCAAAAATGCCAACAAGCTTATGATTCGAATCTCCGAGCACAGATGGCGTGGCACTCTCAGGCAAGAAGCATTCATCCAGGTGCATGTTACGCGTGCCGCGATCTGACCCACTCATCTCGCACGTGCTCACGTCATCTATTCCTTTTCTATTACAACGGGGCCTCGAAGTGATTTATAATCTTGGGATGCTCTCTGGTGATTGTTGAGCCAAGACTCGTTTGAGCATGCGATGGTATAGTCGGGATCTAGAGTCAATTCGGGGTGATTCTAGCCGACTGTTTCACAAGACATTTAGAGTCGGTTTGGTTTCATTTTAAAATTATAGCCGACTGCTTCCATAAGGCCTTCAGATCTGGTTGGTTTCATTCCAACACTGCCCACGTGATGCTAATATAGTAGCGCACACTTTGCATCGACAAGCTTATGATTCGAATTCTTATTTGCGTTAGGAGGGCAGCCCTTCTCAAAAATGCCAACAAGCTTATGATTCGAATCTCCGAGCACGGATGGCGTGGCACTCTCAGGCAAGAAGCATTCATCCAGGTGCATGTTACGCGTGCCGCGATCTGACCCACTCATCTCGCACGTGCTCACGTCATCCATTCCTTTTCTATTACAACGGGGCCTCGAAGTGATTTATAATCTTGGGATGCTCTCCGGTGATTGTTGAGCCAAGACTCTTTTGAGCATGCGATGGTATAGTCGGGATCTAGAGTCGATTCGCGGTGATTCTAGCCGACTGTTTCACAAGACATTTAGAGTCGGTTTGGTTTCATTTTCAAATTGTAGCCGACTGCTTCCATAAGGCCTTCAGATCTGGTTGGTTTCATTCCAACACTGCCCACGTGATGCTAATATAGCAGCGCACACTTTGCATCGACAACCTTATGGTTCGAATTCTTATTTGCGTTAGGAGGGCAGCCCTTCTCAAAAATGCCAACAAGCTTATGATTCGAATCTCCGAGCACGGATGGCGTGGCACTCTCAGGCAAGAAGCATTCATCCAGGTGCATGTTACGCGTGCCGCGATCTGACCCACTCATCTCGCACGTGCTCACGTCTTCCATTCCTTTTCTATTACAACGGGGCCTCGAAGTGATTTATAATCTTGGGATGCTCTCCGTTGATTGTTGAGCCAAGACTCGTTTGAGCATGCGATGGTATAGTCGGGATCTAGAGTCGATTCGCGGTGATTCTAGCCGGCTGTTTCACAAGACATTTAGAGTCGGTTTGGTTTCATTTTAAAATTGTAGCCGACTGCTTCCATAAGGCCTTCAGATCTTGTTGGTTTCATTCCAACACTGCCCACGTGATGCTAATATAATAGCGCACACTTTGCATCGACAAGCTTATGATTCGAATTCTTATTTGCGTTAGGAGGGCAGCCCTTCTCAAAAATGCCAACAAGCTTATGATTCGAATCTCCGAGCACGGATGGCGTGGCACTCTCGGCAAGAAGCATTCATCCAGGTGCATGTTACGCGTGCCACGATCTGACCCACTCATCTCGCACGTGCTCACGTCATCTATTCCTTTTATATTACAACGGGGCCTCGAAGTGATTTATAATCTTCGGATGCTCTTCGGTGATTGTTGAGCCAAGACTCGTTTGAGCATGCAATGGTATAGTCGGGATCTAGAGTCAATTCGGGGTGATTCTAGCCGACTGTCTCACAAGACATTTAAAGTCGGTTTGGTTTCATTTTAAAATTATAGCCGACTGCTTCCATAAGGCCTTCAGATCTGGTTGGTTTCATTCCAACACTGCCCACGTGATGCTAATATAGTAGCGCACACTTTGCACCGACAAGCTTATGATTCGAATTCTTGTTTGCGTTAGGAGGGTAGAACAAGCTTATGATTCGAATCTCCGAGCACGGTTGGCGTGGCACTCTCAGGCAAGAAGCATTCATCCAGGTGCATGTTACGCGTGCCGCGATCTGACCCACTCATCTCGCACGTGCTCACGTCATCCATTCCTTTTCTATTACAACGGGGCCTCGAAGTGATTTATAATCTTGGGATGCTCTCCGGTGATTGTTGAGGCAAGACTCTTTTGAGCATGCGATGGTATAGTCGGGATCTAGAGTCGATTCGCGGTGATTCTAGCCGACTGTTTCACAAGACATTTAGAGTCGGTTTGGTTTCATTTTAAAATTGTAGCCGACTGCTTCCATAAGGCCTTCAGATCTAGTTGGTTTCATTCCAACACTGCCCACGTGATGCTAATATAGCAGCGCACACTTTGCATCGACAAGCTTATGATTCGAATTCTTATTTGCGTTAGGAGGGCAGCCCTTCTCAAAAATGCCAACAAGCTTATGATTCGAATCTCCGAGCACGGATGGCGTGGCACTCTCAGGCAAGAAGCATTCATCCAGGTGCATGTTACGCGTGCCGCGATCTGACCCACTCATCTCGCACGTGCTCACGTCATCCATTCCTTTTCTATTACAACGGGGCCTCGAAATGATTTATAATCTTGGGATGCTCTCCGGTGATTGTTGAGCCAAGACTCGTTTGAGCATGCGATGGTATAGTCGGGATCTAGAGTCGATTCGCGGTGATTCTAGCCGACTGTTTCACAAGAAATTTAGAGTCGGTTTGGTTTCATTTTAAAATTGTAGCCGACTGCTTCCATAAGGCCTTCAGATCTGGTTGGTTTCATTCCAACACTGCCCACGTGATGCTAATATAGCAGCGCACACTTTGCATCGACAAGCTTATGATTCGAATTCTTATTTGCGTTAGGAGGGCAGCCCTTCTCAAAAATGCT